GGGAGGGAAGGGGTGCAAATTTGCATTGTGGTTATGTGAACCTGATTTTCATTGTGGATTGCTTCTGAGACTGTGAAGTATGTGATAGTTTCCCAAATTCACCCTGGCACCAGTATCTTTCAAAATCGGGGTCCCGAGGTCAGATCCTCAAAAATGGCACGACGATAGTTGACTCCGAAGATGATTCCAAGCAGTTGACAGTATGCTGGTTTGAGCATGGGATCGACAGGCCATTCATGTATTGGTAATTAACACTAATTATTTCTGTTACTTAGTTTTCAGTGTGTACTGTATACCGTGCAAGAATTTCACGAAATCGCTTCTAGTCTGAGTCCTTTGGCTGTTCAAGGTTGAACTTCTGAAGTGTGGACTTTTTTTTTTTTTTTTTTTTTTTTTTTTAAATCTGAAGGGTCAGGGAAGGGAAAAGACCAGAACAGGGAAAGTGCAGATAAGTCGTACTTACGAAGTTTTTTTTTTTGTTTTTTTTTTTTTTTAAATCGAAATACAAACACCCCTTCAAATCTGGGCGGCAGCAGTCTGGCTGCTTATCACCGGCAAGCATACAAAGCATACACGTTTTTTTCGGGGGCGAGGAGAAAGGAAGGCCTTACACTCGGGGCTCTAAACGCCTGTCGAGGGGGGACTTCTTGGATCGCAGTCCTCCTATCGCCCAGTCCTTGTTGTCAAGTCCAAAGTTTGAGGTCGAAGAGCGCGTCTCAAATTTCAAATTTGCTTATCTTTTATTTTCCTTGGATTCCTCCCATTGGTGCATGCTACCATCTTTTATTTCCACCCTTCTGGTCTTAACTGGCTATGGTTTTCAAGTTTTGATTTTTTGATGTAACCTAGTTTTATCTTCCCAGGTGCCCGCCATCCCCATTGCATACCCCTCTCAGATTGTTGTCGTTGTTGTTGTTATTGTTTTTTTTTTTTTTTTTTTTTTCCAATTAAGTGCATGGGTCCTGGGGACCATCTCACGCAAGTGTGTACATGTCATGCATCGTACTCCCACACAATGAACAGTAGTCTCACACCATAGACAAAGGTNTGCATGGGTCCTGGGGACCATCTCACGCAAGTGTGTACATGTCATGCATCGTACTCCCACACAATGAACAGTAGTCTCACACCATAGACAAAGGTAGAGAAGAAGAGGACCGAGTTTCACAGCTTATATTATCAGAAATATGAATACAAAGTGTTTCAAAGTTCCCCTGAGTTCAGCGCTCATCAGCGCAACACCAATATCTTGCCAACTCATCAATATGACTTCCAGCGACTCAGCGCTACTCCTGCAGATAGTCTCCAGGTCATCAATGTGGTCAATACTCGTCAGCGCCACCTCTGCTGATCATATCCAACTCAGGTAAGTATCTTCCACAGCGAAACCTTGAATGAACACTCTCAGCCTCAGTCCCTTACTCCTACGATGCATACGCACTCTTCACTCATGAGGATCTACTCTGGATACTACTCGTAGCTACATACTAACCCTCTACTACTAATGCTAACTCGCTGGGCAGCTATGGCTGCATCACTTCCAGCGTACAGGCTTCTTCCTGCATTCAGCGCATCTTCGACCTCCAGCGCTGCTCCTCCTGACTCAGCGCACAAGTGCACCAGCACTTCCACGCATTGCAGCCAGTGGAGATCTGGCGAGGAATGAGGCTGGCAGCTTCCTTTATAGTGCTGGCCACTCCTCGCTGSGTCTGCAYTGGCTCAATTCAGCCTCTCCCTTTGTCCCAGACCCTGCATTGCATGTGTCCCAGTATAGTCCCAATGAGGTTCAACTGCTGCTGAGGCACTTCGGCCTGGGTTTTGGACTTGAAAGTCTGGATCTGGACTGACCCCTTGACTTAGACCAGAACTGGGACTGCGCCTACTGACTTTACTTTCGGACAGGCACAACTCTAAACGAACAGACACATTTACCACTTGAGCAGACACTTTCCTTCGCATGAACAGGTACACTGCCTGCACGTACAAACACTCTTACCCGAACAGACATGACATACGCATCTCCTGGTGAACAGGTAAGTCTTTTGACAATGCCCTTTGCCTTAGATTTAGATGTGCCTGTTGGTAGAGAACTTGACCTTTGACCTGCTTTCACGTTTCTGAGCCCTGCCGGGATACCTTTTCACAATGCTTTACTTTTACAAGGCTCGTGCTGCTTTACTTTTGCAAGGCCTGAGGCCTATATCGGGTAAAGGCCCTTTTACTTTCGCCGGCCTAGTTTCGAAGTCCTTTGAGAATCATTTACTCATCAATGATATAGATTCCTTTTCTTTCCTTCTCATATGCAGACACAATATGAGGTGCAGACTCTAGCAAGTCTTCCCTGGTGAACCAGCGATCCTCGTTAGGATTCTGGTAGGCAAACCTCACCTTGTATTGTCGCTGTGGTCTGCCTCGACGGCCAGTGTGAAAAGTACTTTCTGCAATAATCTTTTCCACGTCATACCTTCCACCCATACTTGGAGGTATCGCTGACCTGCGGCTTGGAAACAACTCATTCGTCACGCAAGGCAGGAGCTTTGAGGCGTGGAACACTGGATAAGTACGCAAATGTAAAGGAACCTCAATGACATATGAAGGACCATCTACATCTCCAACTACTTCTAGAACCTGCCAAGGTCCTCTGTAGGCAGGTAAAAGCTTTTGAGAGATGTTTTCTTCAGGAGCAAACTCTCTAGATTTTACCCAAACCATATCTCCTACAGCAAATGGAGACGGGCGTCTATGTTTATTTGCCTGTTCAATCATCTGATGCTGGGCTTTGAGTATGTTTTCTTTTACCTTCTCAATGTCCTTTTGATATTGGACTGCAAATTCACTAGTTCCTAGAGGAAGCTTATGGAGTTGATCCGGGTTAAACCGATCAATAGGTCTGCGTGGACGCCATCCCAGGTGCAACTCCATAGGAGTCTCACACGTAGATAGATGTACAGAGTTATTATAGGCATTAGCAATTTAGGAAGATGTTCATCCCAGTCAATCTGATCGGGTTTAGGAAGATGTTCATCCCAGTCAATCTGATCGGGACGAATGTACATGCGCAAAGTCTGCTGCAAGATCTTATTCATCTGTTCAGTCTGACCATTAGTCTCAGGATGCCTACCTGATGATATTGTTAACTTAGAACCATATACATTCATAAGTTGCTGCCATTGTTCACTTGTGAATCGGGTATTTCTGTCACTCACAATAGTTAAGGGATGTCCAAAGTCTTTTACCCAATGGTTAAAGAACTCCCGAATTACCAAATTAGTCTTTGCTTGCGAAGACAAGGCTACAAAAACAGTATACTTCGTGAATCTATCCACTATGACCATTACTTGCGTTTTCCCAATTCTGCTCTTCACCTTTATATCCATGAAATCTATAGAGACAGAGTCTCCAGGGCCGGTAGGGATAGGCAAGGGCTTAAGTAGCCCAAGGGGCGATTGCGCGGTGCTTTTGTTCCGTTGGCATACTTGACAACCTTGCACATGCGCGATATAGTTTGCTTTCATTCGAGGCCAGGTGTAGGAACGCAATAAGGTCCCATAGGTCTTCTTCCACCCAAAATGGCCTTCTGTATCATGGCATTCCCCCAAGATCATGCTTTTGATCTCTTCATTATTGGGTATGCATAGCCTATCATTCACATCAGTTCGTTCAAACAATAGACCCTGAGTTACTTTATGATCGGAAAACTCTGCTGGCTTTTCTTGCATTAGCTTAATCATGGTTCCATAAACAGGATTCGAGGGATACGCATCTCTAATCTTTTCTTGTAGGTCAGCACCTACATCTAGATAGATTACAATAGCACCGAAAAAGTCTGATCTACGATTTAGTGCATCAGCAACAACGTTATACTTACCCTTGACTGACTTCAATTCAAAGTCAAACATATCAATCTTTGCGGCCCACCTTGTCAACTTAGGTGTCATTCGGGACTGTGTTTTAAGCCAATGAAGTGTTTCATGGTCAGAGTACACCTTAAAATGTCGTCCCAGAAGGTAGTGTCGCCAATGATTGAGAGCCTCTCGTAGAGCATACAACTCCCTTTCATACGAGGAGGCGGCCACCTTCTCATTAGGTAAGCGGCAAGACATAAACTCTATAGGTTTGTACCCATGCCCATCGTCTTGCTGGAGTACAACACCTATACCATATTGACTAGCGTCGGTTGTGACCACGAAAGGTAATGAAGGGTCCGCCACTTTCAAAACCGGATAATTGATCAAACACTTTTTAAGACGTTTGAAAGACATAGTGTAGTCTGAATCCCACTTCCAAATTACTTCTTTCTTAAGTAACCGGCGAAAGGGAGCAGCTATTATCGTAAAGTGCCTTACGAAGTTGCGATAGTAGTTGGCTAACCCCAGGAACGACCGCAACTCAGTCAAGGTGCGGGGGTTCGGCCAATCTCTGATTGCTGCTATTTTGGCATCTTCCGGTTTGACCCCATTTCCATCAATCACATGTCCTAGGTATAGAACCTGACGCTTAGCCCATTCACACTTCTTTGGGTTTATCTTGAGTTTTGCTTCTCGTAGTTTATTTAGCATAAGCCGAAGGTGCTCAGCGTGCTCCTTTTCATCTTTACTAAAAATCAAAATATCATCTAGATAAATCACAGCAAATTTGTCAAGCCACTCATGAAATAGTTTGTTCATTGTCCTTTGGAAAGTGGCAGGGGCATTTGTGAGACCAAAGGGCAGAACGATAAACTCATAGTGCCCATACCTTGTCCTGAAGGCAGTCTTATGTTGGTCTTCCGGCTCAACCTCAATTTGATGGTAGCCAGATTTCACATCAATCTTTGAAAAGATTTTGCAACCCTGCACGCGATCCAGCAAATCGTCTATTCGCGGTAATGGTTCAACATTCTTTATGGTTATGTCATTTAATCTCCTATAGTCTATACACATGCGAACGCCGCCATCCTTTTTAGGCACAAACAGCACAGGCGCACCATAGGGTGAGGAGCTAGGTCTTATCCATCCATTTTTTAACAACTCATCGAGTTGGGTTCGCAGTTCATCCAATTCCTGGGGCGATATACGATAGATAGGCCCCTTCGGGGGCGCGCTCCCTGGAATGATGTCAATGCGGTGGCGGATTGGTCGTTCCACCACACCGCTTGGGGCTTCATCCACGTCGGCGAACTCTTTCAGAATTCTGTCAATTTCTTGAGACCTGACTTCTTCCTTAGTTTCTCCTTCCTTTACTGGGCGCACATATGCAACAAAAACTTGGTCATACAAGTTATGTTTCTTAACATGGCGAGCGAACGTTGGGGCACTCATACAATAGTGAGCTAGGCTGCTTTCTTTTTCAGATTCATGATAGAGGCGGATTTTCTTCTTACCTCCTTGCGAACTTGGGAGCCAACATTCATGTTCCCTTAACTTTAGATCAGCATGTGCAGCCTCACCCCAATCCATTCCTAATAACACATCAAAGGGCAAGTTATCCTCCACCAAGAAGGTCAGAGAGTGGAGAATACGTTCCACCTTTCCGTCTGCCTCTAGCCGGAAGTATACTTGTACCCCCTCAATGTATCGATCCATGACGATTTCACTGCTATTTGCTAATTTACTTACAATGGGCTCACTAACTTCTTAACCTTAAGCCCAAGACGCAGTTTTTGCAAACCTCTTTTACTAATATAGCTGCGTGTAGACCCGTTGTCTATCATACCTCCTACTCTTATTCGACTTATCTCTAGATCTGCAATTATTAATTGTCCTTTCTTCTTTCGCATTTCAGTCCAGTCTTGGCGACGAGCGGCCAACTCATCACCCACGCCAGCGAGGGATCCATCTAGAGAGATGCATACGTTTGCCACCTCTGGACAATGCACTAGATGGGGACTTCCTTCCTCTTCAGTTTCTGCCATTGGGGCCTTCGAATGGGAGGATTCTGATTTTTCAACATTCGAAGCCCCGGTAGAGGCAACTGGCACCTCTATTGGTTGTTCCCTTTTGCCCCCGTATAGTCAGGGCAGTAGGGGACAATGTGGTCGGAGTCCCCACATTTGAGGCATTGATCCGCCTTCTTTCTTCCGGCCCAAACTTTTTCTGTGATTCCCAATTCTTTCCAAGGCTCTCCTTCCGGTAGGCCTGGATGAGGTGGGTATGGCTTATCCCACTTGTTGTACCATGAGCCTCTTCCTCTACCCCAGGTGGAGTAAGAACCACGGCCACCGTATGAGGGACCATTTCCCCTTCCTCCCACGCAGTGGCCTCCTTCACCACCAACCCTCTGGGTGCCGAATCCTCGTCCACCACGGCCGCGACCTCTTCCTCGGCCACGCCCTCTTCCTTGACGCCCTCCCCCGCGGGCTGCAACAGCCGCGTAACTCCCCTCCTGAGCTACCGGTCTGTTGGGTTCATCGAGACTATAGTCTACCTGATCCCAGGAGATGGTCTCGGCGCCTCCTTCTTCAAAGGTTAGAAGGAGACTGTCTTTCCCAGGTATAGACACTGAGATGGTGCGGTTTTGCCATCTCTTACCCGCTTGCAGATCCTTCCAGTAATGGCAATAATTTGCTTCAACGAGGAAGCCGGCATGATCTATGACGATCTTGCTGAACTTCTCATATGTCATCCCCTCTTCCTTGGTACGGGGATAGAGTTGTGTTTTTAGGGGATCCGGGAGTGCTCGTGCAAAGCTGTTTAAGATTTGGGCCGACGTCAATCCGTGATCAGGGCATTGCAATAGTTCATCCATAGTTGCCTTTAGTGCAGAGGTACTCTTCCATTTCCTGTCAGGAAGGCTGAGGATCAACATTTTTGTACGTCTTGCCAAGTTTTTGTCCTCAAATCTTTCTCTTATTAACTTAAGGAAATCTTCGATTCGCGTTTGCTGCGAATACTCTACCACAGAGCTGCATCCCGCCTCCTTTTGCAGCGAGATGGTGAAGCTCATGGCATCGCCTCCCATGCATGATGTCGCCATCAATATCCTGTCCCAATTCGCTGCCCATACATAAGTTTCAATTGCCGCCGCCCAGTGCAACACACTTTCTTCTTTCTTTCCATTGTAGATCCACGGCAGCTTAAGCTTTATCTTGTTAACTTGCCCGGTCTCCTGAGGAAGTTTGTCTTTTGGATCTCCAATCTTCTTCTTCCCTTTTTTGTCATCATCGCCATCGTCATCACCATCTCCTCCGTCGCCTTTAGCGCCTTTAACTATCTTTTCTATGACTTCCGGAGTAAAGGTCTTAGTAACATGGTCATCCAAGGCCTAGATGTAAGTTTGAACATGATGGTCCACGTCCTTTGCTGACTTTTCCAAGAATTCATTCCAGACATTTGCGAATTCAACCCGATGTGTTTCAACTCTTTGTAGGGTCTGATGTATTAGGTTCACATCTTGTCTTGTGTTGAGGACTGCCGCTCTGAGTAGGGCAAGTTGGTCCGCTGTTTCAGAGGGCTCTTCCTGTTGTGCCTCTAGAGCCCTTTGCAGTTTTTCCCCTTCTGCCTGCAACCTCTTTCTTTCTTCTATTTCTTGCCTTCTTGCTGTTAACATTCTGCTATTCAACTCCGCCCGTTTCTCAGCTATCATCAGGTTGCGTTCGACTGGGTCTGTTACCGTGGCCAACTTTGTGACGAACGCCTGCTTTTCTTCTTCAGTTTCTTTTAGTGGCTCACTGGAGTAATAGAAATGACCAACCCAATCCAATGGTTCAACGGGGAGTTTCTGTGTTGTACTACTCTCCGGAACGTCAATGGGGTGATGTCATTGCAATGTTTGTTCTTCCTCCTGTTCTTCTACTTCACTTTCTTCTATACTCTTCAGTTCTTCCTCCAATTCTTTCTCCATCTTTTCCTTTATCTTCCTCTTAACTTCTTCTTCTTTCTGTTTTTTCTTCGCTTCCCTTTCCTTTTTCTTTTCTGCCAGCCTGCGGTCTACTTCTGCTTGTTCCGCAGGTGTGGGCCCCGGCTTTGTTGTTCCAGACCGCATTAACATGCAGGACGTACATGTGCGTCCGAACCCCAACAGAAACATCAGTCCGAACAGGGGCCCCAATAATACAGAAAGGGCCAACAGGCCCTGGATGGGATAGTCATCCATGATGACTGCCGGCGCAGGTTACCCTCCGCCGGGTCACCAAGGTACTATCCCACTTACAGACTTGGTCTTGACTTGCGGTAATGGAGTACTTATACTTTCCTTTTCCTTTTTTTTTTTTTTTAACGGTAGAAGGTGCTGCGTACAATCAACAATAGATCAAACTACAACGAACTTGAATATGTCTATTTTTTTTTTTTTTTTGATGTGCTGTCTGGCCTCCTGGATCGAACTTTTGGTAATGTGTTTCTGTTGTCTTGCTTTCTCTTTTTTTTTTGTTTAGTACTAACTTGGCTGGTTGCTTTGTGCAGATATGGAGTATATCGCAGAGAAGTCAGATGCAATGGGTTCACTTACCCACCCAGGCAGAGATACTTCGTATACCCTTTTCTTTCTTTCGGGCTTAACAGGCCCTGCAGATGCTCAATATCATCCTTATGCTGCCTGGTACATGCTATCTGACGTGGCTCATAGCCACTTCCCACATCGATCCTTGGTTCTTGATGACGATACCCAGCCTGCCTATCAAGAGGGATAGGAGAGAGACCTACTCCTATTCGCAGAATGCCGGACCACCTACTTTAGTGAGACCAGTTCCTGACACATCACACTTGGGTCATCAGACTCTGACGGCTCAGACCTGACAGCTATGACGCCCCAGATCCAGACTTCGACTCCTGACCAGATCAGCAGCAGTCACCTTCAGAGGGTCAGAGAGAGAGAAGGTAGGGGACACACACATGCATGCAGGTTCAGGGAAAAGGAGGTGCTTCTCTCTTCTTGAAGATACCGCCGATGGTGCTCCACGACGCTCCGCACGCTCCAGGTAAGTAAACTTCGCCACTTCTTCTTCAGCCTGCTTCCCCCACTAACAAAACCCTTCTTCTCTTCCTCCCTCCTTCACTCTTCCCCCATCACCACTTCTTCTCGCCGGCCTTGATCAGACCAGCGCTATGAGTGTAGCGAGCATCAGCTCCGATATCTAATTTTTGCATGGGTCCTGGGGACCATCTCACGCAAGTGTGTACATGTCATGCATCGTACTCCCACACAATGAACAGTAGTCTCACACCATAGACAAAGGT